CTAATCGATATTCAAACGCCCCAACGCCGCAAGACCTCACAAAAAAAGAAACAGAATGAAGGTTAAAGAGAACCATTTTCGGCTACTTCTCATCTCTGTTGCGGCCACGGCCCCGGTGTCTTGGACATACTCCTATCCGGAATACCCCCCATATGATGGGACATTAACCTTCGGTCATGATGACCCATCGACATCTCATCGTCCGATGCCGCGTTGGACATCCCAAATCCCTTCCCGAGACCCATCACATTGCCCGAATACCGAGGATCACCCATCCCGCCGCCGCCGAAGGAGACAGAGTTCCTACGACCGTTGGGTGCACTCAGATCTGCGAATCCAGTGCGAGGCCCACTCCGCGAGCGACTATTGAGGAGGTGACCGGGCATATATATCGAGTCATTACGGGACTCGGATCTACCCCTGAAATCATCCTCGCTGCCTCTCTCAGAGTTTGACGAAACCTCTTGCTGCCATGATTCCAGCAGTTTCACTTTCCCAGGCTCCAAATGCGGATGGTGATGGGGGTGGTTGCCAATCAGATGCTGTTGTTGTTGTTGTCCGCAGGAGGGCTGCATGTGTCTCATATCTTGATGGTACATTCCGTTGTTACCACCGTGGTTGATGTGATGCGGGAGATCATCTTGGAATCTCATATTATGGTTATACGAGGAGGATGAGATGCTGTGACGACGCGAGCCGGTGCCTCCACGGGGGTAGTTTTGTGGTTCCATGGAGTTGAGGTGGGAGTTGTAATCTTCCTCGTCGTCGTAAGGGATACGCATGCGACTCGAAGATCCATTGGGGAGGCTGTAGATTGTGTGGCTGTTGAAGCCCGGTTGGGAATACGGACTGTTTATCTGGATCGGGGGGTTGTCCGGCGACCCGCGAGAAGGGGGGTATTGGTGGTATGAGTTTGGGGGCAGGGGGGCTTGGGGTAACGGTAGGCGTGCGTTTAACGGCAGGCCTTGGTCTTGGTACGGCAGGGTTTGCACTTGCATTTGGTAAGGGTTTTGGTTGAAATTGGGGTACATTTGCATTGGCATCTGCTGCGGGGTTTGCTGGTGCATTTGCATGTGTGGGTTTTGCTGCTGGTGGTGGTGCATTATCATCTGTGGGGTTTGCTGGTTTCTCTGGCTTTGGACGAGGGCCGCGAGCTGCAGCTGTAACTGCTGTAGCTGCATCTGCATGTCAGGGCCGTTATTGCTGGTGTTTATCTTTGTGATTGCCGACAACAGCTGCTGGACCAGTGGGTCCTCTGCAGACTTGATGTTTGAAGCTTTGGAGCCAGGCAGCGAGCCATATAAATCTTTTTTCTCGTCCTTTTTCTCGTCCTTCTTATCGTCCTTCTTATCGTCCTTTTTAGTATCCCTTTTATCGTCCTTTTTAACATCCTTTTTATCGTCTTTCAGGACACCTTTGATCGCGACCGCGCTACTAGCAGAAGAAGATGAAGCAGGCAGCTTCTCATCACTCTTCTGCTGCACTTTCTTCATCTTCTTAATGATCACCCAGAAGACACCGGGAGGCCGTTTAACCGCCACCCCGTTCTTCTTCTCGACCACCCAATTTCCAGGAAACAGATGCACCGGTTCCCAAGGACCGGTCGTGGCATCCGGCTTCTCCGTCTCATTCAGCATCTTCATGTAATTGTCGAGTATCTCTTTCCGAATCTTACCCATATCGAGATACGACTGGATGTAGCTCCCCACGGGGTTATTCTTGATCTCGCGATCCACCATGGCTTGGTCAAACCACGCGTCGGTGACTTGATCCTCCTGCCATGATTTCACACGTTCGCCTTGGCCTTTTATTTTGGCCCCGATGTTTGATGTGGTATCTTGGAATGCGACGAATTTGAAGACAGTTTGCGCGTGGAGGACGGGTTTGCCGCCGCTGCCCCCACTACTAGGGGATGAAGATGAGGGTTTATCCATTCTAAAATTTTTATATAAAGTCAAAAAAGACTTTACAGGTCTTACAGAAGTAGTATGGTGTGGATGAAATGTTAGAGGAATGGAAAGGTCGGGAGAAATTAAAGTAGTAAGGCACGATGCTATGGGTATGTGATTTGGTAGATATGATAGCTGCTGAAGAGTCGATACAAGACTAATATGATAGCACAGTTCTGTAGCCTCTACAGATCCATTGAAGAGAATAAAAAGATCTTTTAAAAAATAATCCTCCAGAATGGAAAGAGCAGGGCAAGGGGTTGATATACCCAAATATCGCCAGCTTACAAACTTTGTAAGCATCGCATCGCTATCAAACAAAAGGATCTGATTTTCGAACCTCCCAAGCTATCCATAACGGCTGATAACGGACGATAACGGAAGCAATCTCAAGCCGCGCTGAAAAGGTGGGGGAGAATAGATCCTGTAGGTGATTGATACGTGTATACGTGCGACAAAAATCTCATCTCTGCGGAGCATGTAGACGGGTTGGTAAATACAAATGCGGGTAGCCTCCCTGCCTGCCTGCCTGCCTGCCGTGTGTTAGTTCGCATCGTCTACCGCTAGCTAATATGTTAATGCAGTAGAACCTCGTCGCGGAAGGGATCTCGCATGGAGAGGGCTTGTAATATGCACGGCAAGCCTCGAAAAATCTCAATATGACCAATGGCCGCGTTTTTGGAATTGGTAGTATCTAGGAGGGTACGCATGTTGCCGTCGGGCATCTGGTTTGAGTATCTTCTAGCTTGTCAAAATACAACAGATCAAGGTGTTGCATCCCGTGCTCACGAACTTCAATTTTACTTTACTTTATTACCCTAGTAGTAACCTTTCAAGTGGGCCCATTTATGAATACTTTCGATTGATCAAGTTATGTTGGGTAAAGCAAGTTAGGAATGGTTCCTTAAAACTTACTTTCACCAAGAAAACTCCCAAGATATATCGATATACGTATACCGTAGGCTTCCAACTAACTGAAGTAGCTCCACTTTTTCTCATCTGTTGTTCCCAAAAGATTGTAATACGAGAAAAAAAAACGCCTTCGCGTTTTCTCCAATGCAAGATGTGTTACGTACGCCTTCATCTTAGCCTGGGTCATGTATCGATAAACCAACCGTCTACGTGCATACAACGGATGATATTCCAGCCCGTCGCAGGAACAAGTACTTATTTTTCTACGCGCAATCCGTCAGCGCTGCAGCTCATCGCATATATTCTGCATGCACTTACCCCCACTCGGTATCGATAGACATCATGGTGCAAATTTACCCTCCCAAGAAAACCGCTGATAAATTAAAAAAAAAAAAAAAAAAGGCCAGCATATTTCGCAAACTTTTTTTTTCTTAACATTTTTTTTTTTTTTTTGGCGGGGGCTCTTCTCATGCACGGCCCTACAGACGCGAAAAGAGAGGATGCCTAGAGATCACAAGACCTTTCTTCGTGAAAAGAACAAGGCGTGCGGAAATATTCGGTGGAGGTTCAAGTTGATAGCCTCGAAGCCTTCTTTTGGTATATTGCATATATGCATATCCAAAATACAACACTTACTTGTAGGAACACCAAATGCACATACCAGCGCCACTTTTCCACAACTAGTAACTTTCCTGCATGGGTCTTCCATTCGTCCGATTTCCTTTGAGCTTGGTTCTGTGGCAGCTGATTGGTAATTGTTACATATTTAAGTACTTACTCGTATGTTAACAGGGCTAGTTTATAAAAAAAAATAAAGGCTGTCTTGATGAATTCAAGATATCTCGCGGAGGGCACGCAAATCCATAGATTACACCAAAATTACTATTATCAAAACGGTACACATACATCCATAAATTCAAAACCCATATCAATCCTATAAACCTAAGACGAGGCAGACGTACTCAATACCGAATACCGAACCCCCCAAAAAATCACCACCTACAAGAATGAAAAATTTAAAAAAAGGTTGCCCCATTTTCTCACAAACCCTGCGTTTCCTCGCGTTTGAACATTCGTGTAACGTAACATAACTTGAACGTTCGACAATTGGAATTCGGTTTGAACGACAACGAAGCCTCGGAAACTTCGAAACAAACATATGGTGTATACCTTGCACAACACGCGGCTAGACGTTTGAGTATACGAGTAATTATTAGTGTTAGTGATATTGAATCCTAACACCGTCTTGTTTAGAAATTTCTAGCAAGGATATGCATAAAACCTCTCTCGCAAATATGTTATTTTTTTTTTCGAGTGTTATGTAAGTATTTATGTACATGCTATTATCTTTGCTTTTATCCCAAAGGATTCATTTTTTTAATATGCCTTCAGCAATATGTGGTCGCTCCAGGTTGAAGACATGGTACCAGCGGCTTTAAGAATAAGAAACTGGTATGAGAAAAAACACGGGTATAAGTAATAATCAGTAGTGTGGTTAAATCGGCGAATAAGCATGAAAGAAATGAATGCAAAGCATCTCTAAGCCGCTCGTTAGTAGTGTTCATGCGAAATTTAAAAGTGGAAGAAATAGGCACCCAGGAGTAACATTTGTTTACTAGTGGTTCACGCAACTACTGATCCCAAAGTGAAAGCGAATAGGTAGGAAGGTAAGCAAATAATGCCAATAGTCATCATCAATATTCTTAGAGGATCGTTACAAAAAAAATGCAGCACAATACCAAAAAAAAAAAAAAAAGGAAAAAGGAAAATAAAGAAACTCCCACCACTTTTAAACGTAATACAAAAAGCCAAGCAAAAAGGAAAAGGAAAAAGGAAAGAAAAGCAAGTGCAAGGATCCCCAAAAGTTTTATATTTACTGGAAAGAAAAACAAGAGAAACGCCGTAACCCGATGATTAAATGCAGATAAAAAAAAAAAAAAATAGAAGGGTCAATGCAATATATGGTCTCCCTTCATGGATCCTTTGTCAACTCGTGACGAAAGGGAAATAGGAGTTATAATGAAGTATTGAGAAAAAAATTGTACAAAGGAAATGAAGTTTTCCGCTTGGGTGGGTGTCGGGGGACCATGGGGTTATCGATGATATAGGACGCCGGGTGATCCGTAGACTATTGGGTATTCAGTCGTCGTCCCAGTTGTAAAGAGAGGTGCGCGATCCGCTTGCGGAGGCAGCGATAGATGAGCTGGAAATATTGTTCTCGTGCTTGACTCCTGTCAAAGCGTTGTGTCTATGATGACTTGTTAGAAAAGGATCCCCAGATGTTCATGTGGTAAAAAGAAAAGACTCACTTTCTGAGAACGGTCTCCAAACTCTCGGAACTCAAGGTTCGTCCGGTAGGAACTTCATCAACGAGACGGGGAAGATTTGCGATAAGTTCTCCAGCCTTGTATGCCAAAAGGGCTGGAACGACTTGTCGATCCATTTCGGCTTCGGAGTAATGAAGTTTGACAAATCGGGTAGAAACATGGCGTCTTGCAAGTGTACCCATACAGTCTTCAACAAACTGCGACTCGGAGGACTGTGACACAGAGTTAGTGATAGTTTTTGTAAAGATTTCTTTGAGAGGACGGATGCATACTCTATCATCGAAGATGAGAACGACAACGATTGTGTCGGCGGTGACCTTTTCTATGGCGTCTAGGTAACCATCCGCATCAACCGTTTCCATCTTGCCCCATGTTCGGCCAGTGGCAACCTTTCTACGATTGAAACTGGACCCGGATTTGAGTTCTTGTATTCTTCTCTGCCTCCATTGCTGCATCAACTCATCATCGTCATCAGAGTTGTCTGAATTTCGTGTTCTTTCGTCCAAGAGACGGGCTTGAACGCTAGGAGGAATATCAGCCGAGCCTTTATATGCGTGACCCTGTCTGGCTTGCATCTCTCTTCTCCTTGCGATCTCGAAGCTTCGAGCGTCCGCCAATACACCCTTTGGGCCTGTATTGGCGGCTCCGTAGGAGGCGAGTCTGAATTGAGGCATGTCTATGACCGAGGTGGGTCTGACGGAGGGTGCGATAGAAGGAGCTTTTTTGTGGATGTATGTTTTCTTGAACGATGTCTTTTTGTGAGAGTCGTCGGATGAATTACCAATATCGTCGATATCGTCGATATCACTGTTTGTTCCGGCACTGCTGTTGCTGCTATCTCTGTCTGATTGTGGATAGTCGGTTTGTTTTCCCTTTGAGCCTTCGAGAATGTCTTCGGGATGGGGGAGGGAGCCCTCTCCTTTTGAACCCGAGGTCATGCGGGTGAACTCGTCGGCTGCAGTTGAGGCGCTCATGGTTGAGTTACAAGGGGTAAAATTGTTTAGATTCAGTTTCTATGCGGAAATACTCCAATGAGGAATGAGAGCCAACGAGCTGGTGAGGTGGAGTATCAGGTACAAGGAAAGAAGGCTATTCGAAAGATAGAATTCAAGCAAGTTCTGTTTGGAACACTAGCGGTGGGCGGTACCTGATTGGATTCGTAAGGCGGGGGTTAAGGGGGGTCTGGGTGTGGGTCAGAGGCTTCCTCGTGGTCTTTTGCCGAAAGCTAAGTGTGGTTGCTTTTCTTTCCTCAGCAATTGTCTCGGAAATGAGAATGTCGAAAATGAAAGGTAGGAAGTGTGCTTGGGAATATGCAGTCGACGAGGGTGCCTACCTGTAATAGCAAGCAAATATAGAATGCTCCCAAATTTGGAGTGAAGCAAAAGCAAAAGACGGACTTTGACTGGTGGTTTTTTGGGGGGGACACACTCGCTTGGGAGCCGACTCGATGACAGCAATTTCTGTGGCTGGAAGGGTCTTCCCTGCGAATGAGAATGAAAATATAATTTCAATGCCCCAGAACCGTAAAACAGACAGGGGTGCCGTCGCACAAAGAAGACTGACTGGCTGGGTCTTCTGTCAAATTGAGGGATCCGAAGCTGCGTTTCTAGAAGAGAGATTTTCACGATCTAATCAATCAACCGGAATCAACCAATCATGAATCAGTCAATCAATCAATCAGAGGCTCTTTGCGGTGCAAATGTGCAATCGCGATATCCTGGCGGGTAGGAAGATTTGATTGTGTTGACGTTTCGATTGGAATCTATTTTTGGATCGCGCGAACGGAACTAATTGATTATTAGTGTTATTATTGTTATTATGCGAATCGGCTGGATCAGACCTCTCGCGGAGAAATTTTAAACTTTGAAGATAAAATTAATATTTTGCTGCACGATGATGAACCAGGGAGGCCCGTGTGGCGAGTTTATTCCAGCACAGTATGCACCAGCCCTGAACGGAAGAAGCGTAGCGTCGTAGCGTGTCGAACTGGAAGGCGCAAATGTCGAAAAGGTCTCGTTTGAACGGGGCCTGCAGGGTGCCCAAGGATCACACACCAGCGTTTCAGAAGTCGGTTTAGGGTCAGGTCAAAAAGTCAGCAGCCTAGAATATCCACTCTCAGACTTTTTTTTTTGTCGTTTGGACCGTGGTTGCAGTCGGGTATTTGAAGTCTCGAAGAGAGTGCGATACAAATCTTAATCTCGACTTTCGGATCCTACGATGAGGCCTGATTTCTAGTCAGCGTCGTGCATCACAATTATACATAGTATCGCCGTACAGCCGCAGGTATTTGCGAGATTATCCTTCTAGAAAATAAAAAAGACAGCGACGTCTATGCATGCAGTGCGTATGATCCACCAGCCATGACATTTCAAAGATGCGCCTCGTACGGTCAAAAGCGCTGCCAGTACTGTGGCTGGCAGCAATACCGATAAGAATACGAGCTCATTGTTTCGATATTTCAATGCACTGAGAAATGATGGTATACCGGTTTTCAAGCGAGCATTGTATCAACGAATCAAGGACAGAAAGAGGAAGCCAAGGGGAAACAGACTCGCCGACGCGAATCGGAGGCTATCACTGTGTCAACTAACCTGTCAATAGCTGCGGTTCCCTGGTTCCTTTGACGCCGGTTAGATGAGGAAGCAAGATTGTCTGATATCAGTCTGCGTGTTCCCCCCAGACGTCAAATGCAACGTCCAAATATATGTACCAGAACCAAGGATGATGCAAGTAAGCTGTCAAAACGTTGTCAAGGAGTGATACAAAACAGCGTCGGAAAGAATAAGGATATATAAAATCTTTGGCACTATGACTGTGAGATGTTTTTATGAATAAAAAACAATAGAACTGGTCGAGTGGGGATAATATGTGCCTTTTTAAAGCCACAGCTTCGCCCGGGCTCACTCAATTCTCAGCTGATATGATTCGATTCTGGAAGCGGGAGCGGGTTGAACGAAACTCTCCAACTTTCTTCGTTTTCTCGCTCCTCTCAATGCAGTCCCCTCTTTTCAACCTTGCTCACTCAGGAGTTCGAAAGGATGATGATGCATGATGGACCATGAGGGCCGGCCTGATTCCTTCCGTCCCCTGGTCTCTGTCCCTTTGTGTTCCACCTAAGGCTCTTTGGGATGAAAGAACCATCTTTTTTTTGTCCCTTGCACACAAAAATACACGATGCGATCGCACTTCGTGACGAGCTCAAGTGCTGTTGGCTGGCCGCCACATTCAATTTTGGCAAATATAGGATGAGAGATGCATCGCATCACGAGCATTGACCAGCAAGTAGCCACAAAAGTCCACGACATTACATCGCTCTGGTCACGCACAGACTTGGAACCCCGAATGGTGGCGAGGTGGAGATCCCATTTTAACCATCAAAGTTTAAAAGAAAGAAAAAAAAAAAAAAAAACGGGAAGAGGCATGTTTTGTTATCGCTAGCTCGTCTGTGCGTGGGTACCTTGCATATTCGGCAACCAATCCAATCCAACCCTCTCCGCTTCCCAACATGTGAGCTTAAATGCAGGTGCACCGAATGTAAGGGGCCGAAGCCTGTTGTTGGCTTTTTTTCGCCAGCAATTTATCTGAATCTTTCAGCCGTTCGTGGCTTTTTTTTGCCATTGTCTTTTTCTTCGTGCGAATCGAATCCGATGTGTGATTCGAGTTCTTGCGTATGTTGTGGACATTATTGTGATTATCTAGTATCTGCCCCATCCGGATCCCAGTAAACATTTAATAGATTGGATACCAGTATTCTGTGATACGTGTACATACGTCTCACACACAAGAGCTACATTTTGCTAAGTAAGGCAGGCATATGTGCAAGCAAGCAGCATTCCTTGAATTCAAACCCTTTGCGTAACGGCGGCTACGGATCGTGGAACTTACCGAAGCCATTGATCGATTGAGAGCCTCTTATTGAAATATTGACAGGGAAGTGGGTCACTTGCGAAGGCTGCACCTCGTTGGAGTGGTTGTGCCTCCTTGAAACGTTGGAAGCAACACAAATCATTCGACAGCCAGCAAATCTGTAAATGATCGCCCAAGGCATCTACAACCACTTGATTTTTTGTACAGGTACGCAGGTACAAGCACTCAACTCCCTTGCCACAAAACGTGGTCATTTCCGAACATGCAGTACTTTTATATTACAATATATTCTGGTATCGAGGGTACAATATATTATTAATATATTAGTGAGCAAAGCCCTGATCGAAACTGCAAGCATCCTCCAAGCAGATGCGCAGATGCATACCATTTGCATTCAATTGATCAAAAGCTCCCCTAGCTAAAATCGGTGCCTCCGGATCCACAAGTAGAATAGCAGTCGTCTGGCTTTGAGACTAGGTAGACTTTAAATAATCTATTGATCAGAGCGAATATATCGAGTCAAAAAGATATTATAATTGCGTAATTATATATTTTAATTTTAGATTGTGAATTAATTACATACTTTAATTTAGTTTGTGAATTAACATTATCAGTTACCGGAGCTGCAGAGAATCCGTATTCAATCTTGAGATATTGCACAATTGCGAGGCTATGTGTATATATATATATTTGATAGCATCCTTGGTGATGGAATTCGCTGTGACTATTCTCTGTTCTGAGGATCTCTTCAGCTTAATAAGTCAGCGACACACTCTCTCTAAATTTCGAGGCTCTCACTTATACTTATACTCGATTTTATAATTCCGTCTAGCTCGAGACTAAGATTTTGCAAATAATTAAAAATCAACAGATAAATACAACTATGCTAGTGTATATGCATAGGTGCGTATATGCACACCAGAAATCAACGGTGGTGGTGATCCCACAACTCCTAGGGTATCAGCGAATTCCTGCGTTACTCGTGCATGTTCGTATGATTCTAGGGACAAATTTGCAAAGGCACTCCTGCATTTTATTACTTTAAGCCGTCCAGAGCCGATATATATCTGCATTTATACATAAATATCATGATATCAATCTATATCTCATGAGAAATATTGTCAGCCGTTGATAATCGATATAATCACACTTGGAAGTTAACCTGCGAGTCGACATCATTTTCCCAGATCCCTTTCAAGATCGAGGATTGACTAATCCCCGCATTCCGCTTACTGGTCCGAGATCCCTTCATCAATGCAATGGCGTATACGTAAGGCTAGGAGACATTATACATCACAGTTATAGAAAAAATTCGATCGGCGAGAATACCGAATGGTCCGCTCAGCTAGCTGCGGGCCCAGATATGTCGCCTTATAGCAGCAATACGCATATATATTATACCTATATGTCGCAATCATCTAAAGAACTCTATTTCCGAGCCTTAAGCTCTACCACATACGGGGTCTTTGAATACCGGTTTGGCATCTTTGCACGTTGGCGTTACTTTCCAGGTTGTGTATCCATTTAAATTTTGGACACCATTTTCAATGTATTGAGTATACCACTGATATCATGGATCTTGGATCGAAATTTGTGTATAGTAATGTGCACAAATTTACATTCTGCTAATAGCGGGATAATACTAACTAGGACGGGTAAGTCTAATATCGAACTCACGAGGCACTGCAACAAACATCGAACATATCGATTGTGCAATTATGTAGACGCTTAGGATTCAAACCAACTTGTCAGACTTCAATAGCTCTTTCGAAGTGTGGATAAGAAGTGTGGACGAAAATCGATCAATACCCTCCTGTCCTAGTACACCCGTAGTTAGCCCTATAAGATGGGAGTTTGGAGTCGCTACCTTGTTTTTATCAGAAATGACATGCGAGTGATATATCGATATACGACAATCGGCTAACTGCAGCTTTGACTGCGACGGCCGCTGTAGCTATCCACAATACTGCAAGTATAAAATTAGCGAATAGTTATCAATCGCAATCATGGGGATTGAAACGTTCGTGCTAAAAATGCTAGGACATATCTTAATGACGTATGACGTATGACCGCTTTTAATCGCATGGCAATCGTCATAATCACATGC